AGATAGCACATCAGAAGACTTCTGACCTCATAGTGACCCAGCCTGTGTAATGGTGGCATGGCACTCATTGTTGAGCTGCGTCTGTGGATCTGTTAGAAAACAATTCCATTATTTCCAATCAATAAATCATTCATGGCAGAGAAGGCACACCTAGAGGACAATTTATAGATGTTTCAGGAAAAGTGTCATTTAAAGAGCTTAGCCTCATGTTGCAGGGCACTGGCAAAACGTCCCACCAGAGAAATTCTGTTAATCGTGGTTTTGTGTGCAGACCTCATTTAGGGGACAAAAAATATAACATGGTTTTTGCTCCCAGCCTCAATATGCTAAGACATGCAGCCTATCTATTATAGCTGTATGTGTGAGTCTTAAGTAGCATTCACCACTGACTAATATAACGTACAGTACTGCCATATAGTGAAAAGCAATGAGATGGTTCATGGTCCGCCATATTGGCTAGGAACCCAACCCACTCTGCTTATGATTATTTTTTACACCATTTTCTGAAAATGCAGCTGTTTTATTTGCATGGTATGCTTATATAGTCTCCTTATAACATGTTAGGTATGGAACATCCTTGGCTGACACGTTTATCCAAAGTGACTCACATTTGTACACAGTTAGACTGTACAAACGCTCCAACCTACTGGAACAATCTTGAGTTTACAGTACTTTACTCTAACTGGCAATATAATCCATGACTCACCTGCTATTCAAAACTACAACCTTCCAGTTATGAGTATAAGATGGCAATACATGTCTTTTGGTAATGATTAAATGCACTGAAATTAAAGTTAGTTCACTAGGAATGACAAACACCCAAGCTGAAAGCGTCATGGAGCACAATTGTGGCTTAACCCTCTTGGCTGAGGGCTGACCTCCCGGCCATTGGACAAGGAGGCCAGAACCCCCCTGCAGGGTGACCAAGTGGGTAGCTGTGGAGGTGGAGGTGGGATGCAAGAGACATAGGGATATCGTAGGTATTTATAATGTTTGGGAGAGGAATGGATTGTCAGGAGCGATTGCTACAGAAATTACTGACAGCTGAGTCTGATTGAGCTTGGTTGTTGTCATCCCTCCTGAACTTTTGTTATAAACTCCATCTATTTAGGGTTTCCAAATATCAACATCTTGTGATTTGAATCTCCTAAAATAAAGTTCCAACAAGCTGTTATAAAGCAAAAATAAAGAAAAACACATACGTCATTATACTTTCTGGTACTGAGGTCACCACTGCAGTTTAATAACAAGTATGTAATGTTTAACTTCTTAACCAAGATATTATTAAAACAATTCGAAGCAGAAGTGTTATCAATATTGTTCACAATTACAGTACTTTAATTACTAAATTGAAGCAAAAAAAAAGATGTTGGCATTTTTGGTGACCACATAACAGTTCCCCTCTCTCTTTCCCTCCCATCATCATCATTGATAACGAGTCATTCTTAACGAGCATAATACTGCAGCATCACGATTTACCCCATCGGTAGTGTCAGGTGTGCCAGGCTCGATGAAGAGGGAACCCCGGGAGTCCTCACGCTTTACTGTGTGACCATTTTGAGCAGTGTAGCCTTGTAAAAAACAAACATAAAAAATCTGCAAACCACAAATACAGTTCTCATGGTCTGTACTGAACTTCATACCAAAGACTCACTTTTAGCGACAAACATGGAAATGAAGTCTTACTTAGATCTTTGTCTATGATGGCGCTGGACCTATTGTGTTGACTGGGTGGAGAGGCATACAAATCATCCCTGGAAGCCTGCAACACCACAAATAGAAGCTGTTTCAAAGTAGCATGACACCACTGATTTCAGCATTTACAAACATATAATTATTTGTGGTTAATTCTTTCATTGGTCAGTATAATTTAGAGTCTCCGTTGCTCAAATAAAAGGTGCGATCAGCTCATTAGTTTTCAGAGAACAGAGTGTGTCAGCATGCAGGTCATACTTACACTAACATGCAGGCCACTATACAGCCCTGAAGAGTCCCTCATTGAGAGGTAGTCGATGTTTTGATACAGCAGCTCGAACAGGGGCAAGTACAGAAGAGATATTCTTGCCTGTTGGTTCTGTGAACAGGAACAGAGAATTGAAAGAAATGTGTCAATTTCTACTTCAAAATTTATGAGGTAAAGCAAGCAGACAGGCATTGTGTGATCATACTGATCTCTCCGTCTCGCAGAGGGGTTTCAGAACTCCTACTACAGAAAGCCATCCGAAACCAAAATTATCGTGAATCTAGAATCACATTTTCCCCCTTCTCTCATCTCCTTCTAATCCTCTCTATTCATTTGCAGGTTTTGACTTCACACCTCTCTTCCAGTTCTCCCACAGTGTTGATACTCCGCTTCCCTTAGTCTCCACCTCCTCTTATTTACCCTGCCTTTTGTTCTCCCACACTTCATTAACTGCTGGTTTCCCTCTCTCCCTCACAACGGAAGGCTAAACCGCAAAACACTGCGTCTCTTTTCTTTTCCTTTCAGCATGGAATAAACCTTGACCTTTTCCTTTGGAGGCATGCAATATGGTCAATTTCTAATACACTGGTTTAGAAAGAGTATAGATGTTTATTTCAGGTACAGTATACAGTATACAGTATGCTTTTCCACCAGTTTCCTGATTCTGGTTGTGGAGACCTACACACTTACTGTTTTTTGTTCCATCCAAATTTGGTTACATAATTGATCCCTTTATTGACTTAATAACATCTTAATAACGGGGTTAATTTGAAGCTTTCTTGAAAATAAGTCAGGGTATCCGTGTCAACAAACTGGCTAGGTTTAAAGTTATAGCATGACAAAAGTAAATACGACAAAAATTTAATAAAAGTAGAATTTGAGAAGAATAAACTCTTGCAAATGTTTTTTTAAACATAAAAAAGTTTTATTAACATTAACAATAAAACGGCCCCAGCCATTTTAAAGTTTTGTTCACCATGTTCACTTTGTTTCTTTGAATCTGGGCTTGCGTCTGTCTTGTGTGTCAGAAAACTGAATATTTTTAATAACTGAACTGAATTTTTAATAACTGAAATATTTTCATGATAAAAATGAAAGACAATGATCATCACAACCATCCCACCATCTATAACCACTCAAATACACTCGAGCAGCACAGGCAGGCGAAGACTTGAATAAAATTCCAGGGAAAACCCTCTACTTGTATGGAATTCCTGCTCTTAAACCTGAAAGTAAATATTGCCAAGTAAGACTCTGCCAAGTCAAAACACAAGGGGCAGAAGAGTTGGAGTCAAGCCGATGGTGAAGTGAGAGTAAGTGTTTTCCCAGTGAGTTAAAGACACAAGTCAGTGGTGCTGGGACGGTAAGTGCTTTCACTAGTATAGGGTGAAAAAGGATGAACACTGTCAGACTGAGAGGCCTATTGCTGTTAAGTGACAGTTTTTGGACATTAAAATGAGGCAACAAGAAAAAAGGTGACTATTAGCTAACAATGTGTATTTGGTGATTGTTTAAAAGCAGTTACTCCAATGACAGAAGGTGGAATTTTAATTTTCATGCAACAACATCTTCTGTGTTTTAAGTGGATCATTTGTTCATGTATTGCTGTGCTTTGGATTTTTATTAAAATACATTCTTCCTTTTTCTGGTTAACATTATAGCAATGTCTTGTTTAGCACTGTTTCTATCAGCACTGGTTTATCATAGCAATATTTGTCCTGGTGGTTATTTTAAACACCCAAATTACATCTGTATAAAAGCTGAATATTTCTGTCTCTGATGCAAAAATAGACCAGGCAGATGCACCTACTGTAGAGCACAATCACTGCATGGCATAGTTTGCATCTTGCTACTGTTTGTTCTGAAGGCAAAATTTAATGAAAAATGCAAATGCAGGCTCTCAGCCAATGAGGGTGTGGACTGATATGTAGGATTTCCTGTTTGGCCAGTGCTGTTTGCTCATTAAAAAGAAGTCCAGTCAAAAAGAAATCTCAAGCCCTGCATGATATGCCACTGGCTGGCCTGTCCTGTAGTACTTCCCATTGGTCTCCCATTGCTGCCAAGTTACAGCAGTGGAGGCAAATGCTGATTAATCTATGTAAGCTCTGACAAAATGTATTGGTGTGTAGCGAAAGATGATGTATTTCTTATGCAACTATAATTTAAGAATAAACTCTCTTTATAAACTGATTTTTAATTATATTTTTGTGGTAAAAACCCCAATGAAGCCCTCATAGGTCACTCATAAGAAACACAGTAGCGATCCTAGAAAAACATCTCTTAGGAACTCTGGCTATGATTGCTTCTACTAGCTCTGATTCCCACAATCCAGAGTGCTCTTTCTCTGGAACCCATCCTCAGAGCTAAACAAGGCACCGCTGTACTGAAACAATCAGCCAAAAAAAGTCATTTTGATATAAGAAAGGTACCAGACTTTTCTGAAATTCCAGGACCCTCTCTTTGCACGGCCAAACATATAAAACGTCTAGAAGAAATATTTGGTGAGCCTTTAACTTACCTTGTATGCTGTGTATCTGTCGTCAAACGTGTGTTTTATCATGAGGTTTTTCAGCACAGACACAGCAAGGTGCCGTATATCAGAGCAGTCCTGCAGGGCCAAGGCCAGCTCCCTCATCAGCAGCCCAACAAGAAAATGGTTCTTACAGTATTCTTCTGTTAAGCTGTACTCCAGATTTAGGTCTGTAACAGGGCGCACAATCAAACTTTTACACCACTGTAACTTTTGTAATAGTCTACTAGTCCTTGTCAGTTTGATAACATATTCTACATTGCAATTTTGAAGATTTGTAGATAAGCAAGTGCCTTCATCTTCAGAACTACAATCCAGAACATTGGCAGAAAGAGACATCAGTAGAGTGAGGAGACGGCCTTTCTGCTCTTGCCAAAAGTAACTATAATACTATTGGCCATTCTATTGATACGGCCCAGTAGTGATACTGCATGTGTCACTGCATTCTCCTTTGAAAGACATTTGTGCATTTAGAAATCTTCACAATTCCAACCTAGAATCATTTATTACCCAATTACTCATCTAAAATCATATAATTTTATAACCATAGCTGCAGTCCTACTCTATTATGATTTGATCTTCCTGTATTATACTGTAAATCATTCTCCAGCTCCGAGTACGTTTCCAGCCAACGTCTTGCAAAGTTACTTTGCTCTACAAAGCAATGCTATGCAATCTTTTAGTAAATAAAACAAGTTTTAAATGTTAGCAAATAAGAACGTGCTTACATTTTGCATGTGCAACAAATTTTAAATGCCAGCAAGACACGATCATGAGAATAACATAAGCTTGCAACTAAGTATTAGTTTAGAACTACTTCGCATTTGTATTCTGTAAAACTACCTACCTACAGCACTGAAACGTTCCACCGCATATGAAATAAAATCTAATTAGCAACAAAAAAGAAAAAAAAATACTTACTAGTAACAGAACAATACAACAAAATGTTAAACTTCAACTTCACTTTGCAGTGACAACATTGCTTAGAAAAAGACATCAAAACTGTTATTACATTAATTTTAATGGAATGAGTGACAAGACTCTAAAAGTATTATAAAGGGACAAATTAAGAAGAAAGTTAATTAAGAGACGTAATCAAAAACAGTGTGGACTGTCTTTCAGTTTACCTTGCACTCTCTGAAGTTTGGTTTTTCCGAAAGTCATAGGCAGATTGAGAGGAATATAGTGCTCATGATAGCAAACGGTCATTAGGAAATCAAACTTGAACTCTGTAAGAACCTGAGAAAGGATACACAATCAGTAAAACCCAGTAAGGATACAAAATCAGTAAAATGTCACAATAGAATTTTGAAGATAATTAACTTTTAACAACAAGTTTTACTTGATGTTATTTAACAGATGTTCCAGAAAAGGTTAAATTCTAATCTCGCACTGCTGTTCTCCTACATGCAGCATACTGTAAATACCCCCTCCCTCCAGCCCACCTTCATCCTTGCAGCTGCTTCCCAAGTTCATTCCTCTGAAGTAAGAGGGTTGTGTCATTTCCTCAGCCCGGCAAGTTAAGGCCAAAGTATTAAGTACAATATCCTTTTATATTTGTTGGCTTGTTTACATCAAATTTGACCACAGTACTGAAATTAGTTAATGAGATAAATGTATCACTGAGACAATTTAAAAAAGAGTCAAAGTTCAAAGAGCTACTGAGTGCTATACCATATAATAAAACCTTAAATATAAACTAACCATTAACTACTAAGCATGTATATTATTATTCTATGCTATTTGTCTTAAGTGTGTTACAGAAAAACAAAATTTTATGGTTTATCAAGCTGTATGACCAGGTGATTACATTAAAAAAAATACATTTAATGTAGTTAAATTCTTAGTTTTATATTTACACAGTAAAAAGCAAGAAGGATAGGAGGTAAACACTGAACTTGAAGAAGCTACCTGTTATTTTTTAATTGTGAAAATTGTAAATTCCTGACAATGTGTTGAACCAATAAAGAAAAATATCAGTAGTAATTCTAAAAACAATCATTTAAATCATAAGGTGTCATGTTAAAATTGTGTGGTTCAAATTCAAAAGAATCAGCCCAGAGTCCAACAACTAGATATGTTACACAGCTTAAAGGAAAAGTCCTAAACTGACAGACTAAAAGAACTAAAAGGACAGGGAAGACTACAAAGGGACCCGATCCAAGTATTGCAAATTCTCTGACACTGACAAATTCCACTTTTTTAAGAACCAACAATGAAATACAAACAAAAGGACAGAAGTGGACATTACAGTAAAGATAAGTTATAACTAACCATAGACTAAAACTAAATACTAATGAGTAATAGATTTCAGATTTATTTACTTGTTTGGAGTTGGAAGTAGACAGGAGCAAATGTTTGTACAGTGGCAAAATTCCTGGAAGTACTTAAATTGTCATCCACTATAGCCTTAAAATCCAGCACTCAGAGAATGCTGAATCGAGAACGCTTTTTCATCAATTTCCCATCATTAGAATTTTGAAATTATGAATGTCAGTACAATGAAAGGTTACACTGTGTTACAGGAGGTGCTGTTTGTTTGGATGAAATGGCAAACCAAGGTCCTTGTCTTTAAAGGTATGAGTGTTCACCCCAGTGTCTTGGCAAAATTCTACATAGGGTTCGCCCAATCTGGTCTCTCTAATCTGAGTCCCCTCCTACTATATGCATAGAACTTTGAGAGATAAAAAGCTTTATACAAAAATGCAGTCAGCAATGAAAAAAAATGACTTTGTACCTTGGGGTCTTTAAGGCTAAAACCACAAATGTAGTCATTTACAAGGCTGAACGCGAATCCTCTGTCCATGAGCGTAAAACACCGCTGCAAAAATTCAAAATAAAATTAATTACTGTATCACCACAGCATGACATGACCTGCATGACCTGTACCTTCTAGACACATGTTTTTTCAGTGATACACTCTAGAAAAACAAATAATAGGTCTTGATTCTACTATGATTTCAATAATATTACAGTTGTACTAATGAGCACTTTTCAGGAAACCTAAAGATGTGTATAGTACAGTAGCACTCCTGTGATATACATAAAATAAAAAAAGAAGAGGTATGAACAATACACGATAGGAATGCATACCTTCAACATTGAGGCATGTACAGTAATTTACCATACATGCAAATAAAAACGAGCATACATCGTCATTTTTGTCAAAATACTTAAGTACAATACTAAAGCAGAGCAGCGTCAACATGACACCTCGAATGTTGTCATCGTCCACTGTGATGAGGACATTTGTTTTTTGTGGTTAAAATTTGTTTCAAACCAGGAAACAAACTTTTTGTTGTACTGCATGAAGTGTATCCATGCAAATTAAGTTTAATCAGTCTGCTGCACAGTTGCACCACAAGGTGCCCCTGTGAGATAACGCACGTACTGTAAGACGCTCTTTCCCAGAATGAGAAAGAGATTCTCAGAAGATAAAGCAACTATCTAAAGAAATACTGCTCCTACATAATTCCCACGTTTGACTCAAATTCTCATTTTTGAACAGTACTTAATGAAAAAGCAATGACCATGACAAAGCTTCATAGAGTAACTAAAGGCCAAAGGTGAATACATTAAACTGCTTGTGACTGCTAATTCCAGTCTTATTGTAGATTTATTTCTAAGAATAGCATTCTATTTCAATCTCCCTTTGGGGGGGCCAAGAATACTTAAAAAAAAACAGGATAGATATTGATATGTTCTAAATTTATTAAATTATGTTACATTTCCGTATTGCATAGAGCACAAGATAGTTGGTGAAGTATTTTACTATTAGCCAAGTTACATATAACCCTTGATTCTTTTGAATGAAGATGTTTTCTGTTAGCAAAGCATGTGGACTTCCAATCATTGTTGGAGGTCTAAGTCATTGCCATTGACTGATGCCAAGACCATGTATCCACAAATGTGATTAAAGACTTGTAAATCAGTCGCTTCCCAAAATTCTGCAAAAGCATGCAGAGATAAGTCAAAAGGGTACCCTGATGTGTAAATATTTGTATTTCAATTATTGATGGCAAAAAAAAAAACATTAACTATATAACTGCTCAGACTGTATAAAGACTAAACAGAAGTACAGTATCTTGCTCCCTATGATGTCTGGTTTATTTAAATTGGCTGTTTAGCTATATCTTCAACTGTGCACCACATTCAGGTGTTCAATAAATATACCACACCCGTTTAGCTTGCATTCCTTTTCCTGATTGATTGTATGTTCAACACACTGGCACATGAGGGCAAATGATAACATAAAATTAGCCAAACACAGGTATGAGTAGAACATAATAGACTCATTTGAACATAGGCCAAAAAACCTCCCTTTCATACTTTTTAGATTATTAAGGAAGATAGGAGCTTGTGTCGGAGACAATAGGCAACAGTATTTTACAGTTCAAGGTTGATCACTTGTATAATGTCAGGCACACTTATGGTATTATCACTTAGCTGGGATTTTTACCACAGGGCATTCTTCAATTTACATTTTGTTCTTTGTTCAGGTGTAACTGTGCTTAAGAAGCAATGACGAGGGCAGATTTTGTATCGGTCTTTTTTAAAGCCCCCTGTCATTGTAGCCCTTTCTTGTCAACCTTGATAAAGTTGGCCAAGCCCAGAGTGACGTTCCGGGCCTCCTCGGGAATCTCCGCGTAGCGAATGGTGATGTGTGGCATTATCGCCAGGAGCAAGGACTGCAGGGCTTGATGATAGGTGTCTGGGAATCTCTGTGCTCTAGGCATCTGTGTACATTGGAGAGAGTAGTGATAGATAAAGACATTGTCACTATAATGAAGTATAACAGCTTTCATCCAACAAGGAGTAGGTATTTGCTTATTTTAAAGACATCTGAAAGACAATATTTAAGTTAAGTGTCTTTCAGATGTCTTTAAAATCATGCTTTCTTTTCAGAATCACTGATGACCTTACAAAAAGCAATCTAATGATGCCACATGATAGTGCCATCCTCATTTTAAGTATTTTTTTTCCCTTTTCTAGTGCAGTAAGGCATGGCAGTACCCAAGCTAGTGTTGAGGAAGTGAAATCATAACTGCCCGTGAGAGTCATTAATAGGTCCACTTGTTAAACCTACATTTTAAACTAAATG